TGTAGCTCTTGTTAAAACTCACTGTGGATACTTCAGCACGAGGTACTCAAGCAGCAGTATGATAATACACCATGGGTGGAGTGTACTTATTACATAGGAAGAAGAAGAAGAAGAAGCGAGCGATTAACTATTTTAAACAAATTTGTATAGTGGCATCTTCATGTCTACATGGATTTGCTAAAGTATTAATTAACCATGAAACCATGTTGCTGCCCGAAATGGGAGATGGTTTCAAAATAATTCACGTACACCTGTGCTTTTAAAACAATTGTTTTATAGGCAGTTGATTTTAAAAGAAGGTTGAGTTCTGGGAAAAGGTGAAAGATAATTTGTGATCGTTATCATTGTTATTATGCAAGGATGGAAGAACATCAGATAAAACATGTTGCCTGAAAAGTGTGGCTCTTCAAATGCCTTCATATTCTAAATATGGCATGTAACATCGTACAAATCGGGACGGATTTTTACGTCACGTGTTCGTGTAGTCCTGTATACATCCTTTTGTGTACAGTGCTTGTAATTTTACCAAGACTTGGCCAAATTTCTTATCACTTTGATGATTCCAGAACCTTACAATACACAAGAATACTTATATGCTAGATGATCCTATTTTGATCGACTCCACACCATTTCCTTCACAATGCAATCGCATGACCAGAACTCAGCTGCTTCCCGTATCCTAAAAATGTCCTACTAAGTCTTGGCATGACTTTAACCCTTGGTTAAAGATTCGAGATTCGAGATTCGAGATTCGAGATTCGAGATTACAGATTACAGATTGTAGATTCAGTATTTCAGATTCGAGATTCAAGATTCGTGACAAAGCGTATATCTCGCGTATTAAAAGCTACTCTACAGATGAAAAAAAGTAGTTCTTTTAAAAACGACACGCTTCACTCTTCAACTTCCGTGATCTGCTCACATGCTTCTCAATCAGAATTTCTCCTTTATCTTTCCTGTTTCCATTCCACCTCATCGTTTGGTGTACAACCACCGAAAACAAAGCAATTTTTTTTCTTCTCATGTATTAAATGTCAAATGTAATACAAGTTCATTCCATTTAATATACTTCCCTCTTTTCATTTCCTTTAGTGTTCCTCAATTCATCTAAATGGCGCGTAAGCGGTAACTTTCAACGAAATGATATATCAAGTCTGCCACATGATATTAAGGAAAGCCTTCAATCTCGAATTAGGTAGCCTAGTTTCGAAAGAAGCTTCACCTATTTTGTCAAAGACAACGAATTTGTTTCAATTCTATGTCAGAATGGTGGAACATTTCTTGGCAAGGCAACGTTGAGCAAACCACATTATCGAATGAGTTCGCAGAGTGTAGAGGAGCCTCGCAGAGACGGGGAAGTGTGACCACTCAAAAGTGTGCCTTGCTCAAGCTGATAATATGCATACAAATTCATACTTTCTAAACATTGTTAGTCAAGATGTCCCCATAAAGGGTCTATACATATTTCGTACTTTTGATTAAGGTAACATAAATGTGAAATGTGTTAAGACGCCTAACAATGATTTGGTCTGGCTGTATGTCAGTAAAATAACTCCCCATAAAAGCAGACATGTAAAGGCATGAATCTACAGTTTAAACAATGGGCGTTTAAAAACAAAACTTATAAACAAGAAATTTAATACCTGAAAGTTTAAACAATCTAATTATTGATCAAAGGTTGCATCAAACCAATAACTTCATTTTATTATTGTGTAAGATAAGAAAGTAGATATGGAAAATTAGACTTAAAAACAAACAGTGACAGGGTCATGATTATTATGAAGGCATTGTTATTCTGCATTCTTATTGGAATATTGGCATCGCTTTATACGAGAAAAATATATATATATCACAAAATGAAATATAAGGTGATACATGCTAGCTTAAATGGAAACGCGTACAATCGATATTGAGATAAATATTAAAGGTAATAAAAAGTTTTGGTATGGGGTCATGAATTTGGTTCAAATGAACATATTTGAAGCATGTGCGATTTTACAATATTCAATGATCGTTGTCGCGGTTGAAATCAAGTCTAAAGTAATGAAATTGTAGATAATAAACTCTTTATGTTGTATAGCGCCATCTCAAGACTGATATTACTTTAGGTCTAAAACATTGTTCCCTGAATAGGATCGACCGATTTGCCATTACCGTTTGGAAATTATATATCAGAACTGAATATTCTGAGATTATAATGGTCGCAGCTACCATGGAATAGCCTTATGCGCTATTTAAAATATTTGAAATTTACCGGGAGCACCGGTAAGTTTGTGATTACTCAAATTCTGGAAGGCGGAAGTGTTTTAGGGGCTAAATTTTCTAGTGCTTATAATACATCCACAGGGCATCCAATTATATCGAAATTGTAAAGAATTACTATCAATCCAATTTTCGAGATTTCCCAAAACTTTGCATTACCTTTATTAATAAATACAATAATGATAACATTGAGATAATTCTAATAGCACATTATAATAATATACATGATATTGATATTGTATCTTCCAAAGCGTATTGCCCTGCTTTTGAACAGCTCAGGCATGTTTTATAGTTAGAAGTTGGAGAGAAAAATATGTCATATTTTAATAGTAGATAATCTTTTTTTTTTTTTTTCTGGCTTTAAAATATTACAGCGCTTGCATGTTTGATTGCCCTTCTCATAATAATGATCATTCTTATCAACGGATAAATGATAATTAAAACAAAATAATCTGTGGTTAGGTTTATTGTGTGGTGTGGTATTTTCTTTCCTATATTTCATACCTCGTACAGAATTCAAGATTTTACATATTGTACACATTAGCAAGTTCTTATTATGGTCAGTGGTAGGTACATAGTCATACCCAGAATTAAAATGCAAAGTGCAAAAACAGGAGGGAGAAAACATGAAAGAGCAGAAGCTAAAAAAAGGAAAGAGGGAGAGAGGGAGAGTGAAAAAGAAAGAGGAAGATACGGGAAAAGAAAATTATACAATATTACACTATAAATAATATGTCATGAATTGTGATATTTTCATTTGATTGCTGACGTCTGCACAATCATTCAACATGTCCAAACAAGAATTTTTTTCTCAGAACTTGATAAGAAAAGCTAAGCAAATATATGAAATAATCCCACATAATCAAAGCAAAGACATTTATTTACATTCCATTCATAGATCAATATGAACTAAAGGGTTCGGGGTTCGAACCCCTGCCATGACACCCTTTAGTCAGACATTAATCCACATGGCTGGTATAGAGGAATCCACAACTATCATTATTGACAACATATAGCGTATTACATAATTTGCTGTATCATACCTCATTTACTCTAATTCTGGTCATAATGTTCGCTGAATGTTATTCTTACAAAAGTGCAAAAGTTACTTTAACGTTATTTGTAGTAAGACTTATATACAAAATTATATAAACTGTTGGTCATAATGGTGGCATAATTATTTTTTATCCCAATTTATGGAATGATTTTGACAATAATTTATTCCTAATAGATCTAGATAATAGTATACATTCTCAGATTTTAATGAAAAGTGTTTTGTGAGTGTTTGTTTTGTGTGACTGTCAAAGCATGTGTGTGCTACTATGCTAATCAACTAGGGGACCTACGTCCTTAAGTCTTAACTGAAAGTGATGAAGACTAATGCCTCACAGAAGAGCACTTATATAGCTGATCGACACGGTTTTTATTATGGGGCCTCACAGTAACGAGGCCATTGCTTGGCCACTGAATCATGACTGTACGCAGCGGGGCTAGGGTACGTCGCCGCCCCCACAAATAACATAAAACAAGGAAAATGCAATAAATTATCAACAATTCATTGCTTTTCGCCCCGACCCCCAACATAGGAAATTCCTCTACGTGGGCATGCCTTGAACTATAATGCATGGCCCTAGAGAGGAATTGTTCCTGCTGGGGACCGGGGGGAAATGCAATGAATTATTGATAATTTATTGCATTTTCTTTGTTTCTTTGTATTTGTGGGGGCGGCGACGTACCCTGATTGATATGTACTTTGCATTAATCGTGTAAAGCAGATACAAGCATATTAACATAAAAAGAAACGTCATAACATCCATCCGTGCTTTTTCATTATTTGTTCCAGTGGTGTTCTTTTTTCACCGATAGATATTCAGGAGTTGCAGCATACAAAGGTCTTCCTCGTAAGCTTCCACAATTCTGCCCTCACACGTCTGTTTAGGAAAGCATATATGAGTGGATCGAAGAGGGCGTTACAGTATCCCAGCCACATCGTTAAAACACCAAACCAGTGACCCTCCCCCTCACTGACCCGAATGTAGTTTGAGTGATACAGGAAGTATGGAGTCCAACAGATGATCGTCGTGAAAACAAGCAGTGCACCTAGAGTCGAGGGAAAAGACGGATAGAAGATGCCAGTGTAAATGAACAGTTGAAATTGAGACTATACCAGCTTCCAATATCTAGTGATAATAATGACGTTGCACGTATACGCGACATGCCATTTTAGTTGCGCTATTTCCTACGCTAATGCAATTCGCGAATCGGCCTGTAATTCAAAAGAATATAAATTTTACACTGTTCATTTGCATCATTCACTTTGTGGACAGTGCCACTCTCAGCTCATCAAAATCCCGTAGCTGACGCAGCCCTGCGCCAGCCATCGTGTACGACGCGCATACGAGACGTCATTCAATGATGCTAGTGGTTCAGTTTATTGCTAAATAAGTCATACCTCAGTAAACACCGAATATGCTTAAAGCTATGAGACGCGCATAAAGATTAATACCTAAGCTAGACTGTCGAAGATAATGTGAAAACGAAAGGAAATGCAATCTCTTTATTATTTGTTAACGTTGATTATGGAGCTTTTGGAGGTAATTGGCCACACACAAGTAATTTTAAAGCAGTATTTGTCCTTTTGATTTTGAATTCACTCTTTGTATTGTGACTCTCGCATGGCACATCCGCAGTTTTCGTCACCTATACGACGCCTTGTGTGCAATGTGCAAACGATCAAACTACCTACCCATGAGAATGACACGTTTATGGGATTCATGTCGTTGACGTCGACGTTTCATCGTGACCCTTTTGTCCGTTCTAGTTGCGTTGACGTTCCTGGCGCTGTGTGCCTCTGTACTGGCGCTGATGTCTCCGTCGTTTTCAGCCGAATCTGACAAACGTCTTCCTGTTGCTGGGTGGGGAAGGGTCACATGCGTCCCCGATTCCTAATCAACGGGATGTAATTATCGTTATTATTCAGCTGGCCATTGTTACAAACTTCAATTTGCATTCAATTTAAATCAATAGAAATCAACGAACTGAATGTCATAAGGTTTGATTTTAAAGTTAGTATCTAACAGACACAAGAAAGATGGGAAAAGCGAAAGAAGGGAACGAAGACTTCAGGGAAATACCTGAGATATTGATAATTCATTAGCTTTTACTAACCATAAGATGATAAAGCGGATCCTAATCAAATGATTAGTTGAGAGCGTACACATGATCACGCATTTATTTTGCCTAACACCTAATTGTACTAATGACCGGTAATTAGTAAAATCACCATTTCATAAAACAAATAAAACATCAACTTATAAAACAAATAATGCACATCATTTTGTTCGGGCATTAGTAAAATTACCCACACTCGGTACTTTCGACACAGTCTAAATAACCCTTGGCTATCGCCTCGGAAGTGTTAGACTGTTCCAAAGGTACCTTGTGTGGGTAATTCTTACTAATGCTCTCACTGCCGTGTATTATTGATAAATCATTACAACTGATAATTATGTCAATTGTCCTTGAAACACCATTATTCTGATTATAGCTGCATCGATACATTATTACATTGTGTGCAGTTTAAGTTGTAATACTGAAACCGAATCTAATTAATCTTTTCTATCGGAAGCTTTCTCCAATCCGGTCCACTAAAATGGTATTTTCCATCTGCAAAAGTGCGCTAAGTTAAATGAAGAGAATGATTAATGAAATATGATTGCCATATCATTGAATTAATAATATATAGTTTAAATAATTTAGCAAGGTCGTCATCGCACGTTTCCTCAAAGTAGCTGCAGAATTAAAAAAAAAAGATAAAGGGAAAATGCATATCTAGATAACTATTCAGCTAAGAATGCCCTTAGTCAAGAAAAAAGTGACTGTGTGTGCAACTCCGGTACAATATGTAATAGAAAAAGATTAAAGGCCTTTACCACGAGGAAGGGGGAGGAAAACGCAAACTGTGAAAGAGAGTGAAAGAGAGAAAGAGAGGGGATAGAAAAAAAGAATTATATTAGGCAATGTAAGGAAACTCACTTCACATGAGTCCATCGATATTGTATTCACACTTCTATTCGGCACATTCGACAACGCCCTCAAAGTGGACATCGATGAGAAAAGTAGGTGACTTTGAAGACTCAAGCCCTTCTTCCGAATGAAGTAAGCGATGATGACGTACATGGCGATCAGACCTGGGATGGTTAATCCTAGATAAAAAGCACTGCAGCTGATCCGGAAAATGTCGCTTTCCCAGAGACGAGTGCAGTGTTTCGTGCTTTCGTCGTATTCGTAGTCGATCAGGAAACCGGCCGCCGCGATGGATGCGATGCCGATTCCTACGAGCCAGGACGCGACGACCATCACATAGATACGACGTCGATTTGGAGGAAAACGCCGCGATAGAACGACGATGAGGAGACGGTCAGTGGCGATGGAGAGAATGACGGCAAAGTTGGTGAAGGAGAACATGATGGAGAAGAATCCGTTCATCTAAAGGTGGAGATAAAAAAGGTTAAGTTCTGGGGAGAGGTGTAAAGAATTTGGTGAGCGTCATCATTGATATTTTGTGGAAGAACATCAGAGTAAAAATGTTCCCTGTAAAGCATGGCTCTTCAAAAGCCTTCACAGACAAGTAACAGCTTGAAAATGAGGTCCGATTTTTATGGCACATGTTTGTGTAGTCCCATATACATCTCTCTGTGTACAGTGCCTGCTACTTTATCAAGACTGGGCCAAATTTCTTTACATTTTGATGACTCCAAAACCTTGCAGTAAACACCAGCACATGAACAACTTTTCTGATCGATTCCTCTCCGCAGTATTTCTCAAGGCAATCGCATGACCAGAACTTAACTTTGTCTTTAATCCTAAGTCTTTTACGCCCACTGCACACTATACGATTCTCCCGCGATCCGTTTTTTCAAACAAATGGCAAGTATTTTAGATATGAAAAAATTAAGCAAACATTATTTCCGTACTTTCGGTTCTAAATAATGATAAGAATACTAACAACCAACCGCAATTTTAGTGCATTTAAGCCTTCTTTTCATAATAAAAGCCTAATCGGTTTCAAATCGTTTTAAGTGAGATGGCGACTTCAGGACACGTACTGTAGGGTTGTGTAGAGGTGTCGTGATTTAGTGGATACGTCACCAGACTTTTGATCATATGGAGCGTGGTTCGAGTTCCACTGCGGCACTAATATCCTCTAAGCCCCCATCACACCAAACTAGTTCGCACTACGTTCTCAAAAATGTTGCCAAACGGGCTCAAACTGTGTGCGAACGGAGTTAAACGTAATAGGAACTGTTTGCGACTTGTTTAAGGACTTTATGGATGGGCTCGGACTGGACTATGTCTCTAATACGATCCTAGTTCGTTCATTAACAGTCCACAATATGTTCAACTCGTCTGTACTCGTCCACAGTCAGTTCATATCAAGTTTAGATCGGATAAATTTGATATTTCCAAACAGTCCAAACCATTTTTACTAGTTCGGAACTTGTTTTAACTAGTTTATAACCCAACCACCCCGTTCAGAGACTCGTCCTCATCTCGTTCTTAGTGCGTTCGAACGCGCTTCTATCGTTCTTTGCAATCCCGTCCTGGTTCGAGTGCTATACAAACCCAGCGCGTTCTTCCTCATTGATGCTCGACCACATCACGTGGTAACACGTTCCTAGTAGGATCGAAGTACGGCAATTCCGTTCGTAGTACGTCCATCTCGTTTTAAGTACGTTGTCACTCTGTCCAATTACAGGACGGGGAGAAATTGGCCCGTTTGGCAACATTTTCCAAAACCTAGTGAGAACTAGTCTGGTGTGATAGGTGCTTGACCTGAACGTCTTGATCTGCAAAGCCTAAAGCGTTGAAGTTGAACGGGAATGAGGAATGGCGAGAACGCGCTGGGTTTTTATAACTCCCGACTCAGGACGAGATTGCACACGAGATGAGGAAGACTTGCACTGCGTCTGAACGGGGTGGTTGGGTTAAAAACTAGTTAGAACAAGTGGCGAACTAGTTAAAATGGGTTTAGACGTATTGGGAACGAGGTAGAACTAGTTAATAATGGGTTTAAACTGACTACGCACTGGTTTGGACTGCCTAATTTACCGATCTGAACTTGATATGAACTGGCTGTGGACGGGGTACAAACGAGATGGACGTATTGAGGACTGTTTACGAACGAACTAGGATCGTATTAAAGACATTTTTTACACACTCTGCCCCGACCACTACCCGTTTACGATTTTCTAGGACGGTTCCAGAACGTAGTGAGAACTATAGTTTGGTATGATGGGGCTTTAGCAAGACCTTATTTGTATATGCCACTCTCCACCCATATGGCACTGGCTGTATGGGAGGTCGCGCCGATTTCGTGTGAAATTGTGCCAATTTCAAGGTTGTGAATTGGCGCCATTTTTTTCGTGAGATATGGCATGGTTTTCTATAGGAGATTGCGCCAATTACATGAGATGTGGCATCAATTTTATATGAGATGGCGGCGATTTTTAATGAGCAGCCCATGGGCGCCTGCGGTGATACGGAAAAAATAAGAGGAGCCTCTGGATCAGTAATATGCCAGTGTTTGGGATTCTTACGTAATTATGTCTAAAATAAAAACTATGCCTATGCGATACCTATTGTCAATAAACTCACTTTGCACACTCCGTCATGTGTTGTTAAGAAATGTCCACTATCAAAGACAGATACCAATGAGAACGTCATACTGGTCAGCGCTACACCAAGATCCGCCACAGATAGGTTGAGGACCAACATGTTATGATGGTTCTGTCTCAGACTACGTACACGTAGGATGGTGGTGATGACGAGGATGTTGAAGAGTATTGCTCCCAGCATGATGATGATGAGACTGTTTGATGGAGGCGAGAGGAGTGACGAAATAAAGAGGCCAACATATTATATGAGAGAGGGGATAGAGGGATGAAGCAGGGATAGAGCTCGAATAAGCGGAAGGGAGGCATTTGGAGGGAGAGATATTAGGGGGAATAGAAAAAAGGACGAGACAGCGAATCAGACAGAGAGAGAGAGAGAGAGAGAGGGGAGAGAGAAAGAGAGAGAAGGAAAAGAGGGAGATGGGAGAATCGAAGCTTTAAAGTTGCACAAAACATAATACATTACAGACAGGCGAAAGAGAATTAATATCAGCACTTAATATAAGGAACCATACAATGTTCAGATGAAGGGTAAAGAAGAAGGTACGGCTCTATTCATTCTGTCACTGCATACTCACATTCTGATCACAAATTGTCTAAAAATAAAGAAAACACCATACCTTGATGACTCTAGCACAACTTGAACAATCGAGCTGGTCTTGTTTTTTCCAACAAGAGAGAGATGTGTATCATCCATAGTAAACATTATCACCTTTCTGAAGTCGAAAACAATGGTTCCCTGATCATCGCAGACCAATAACTATCAGGATCTGGAAGTGACTAGAAAGCAGAATGATTTTCTTTACAAGTTTCATATTGATTAAGGCTGAATTTCAGTTATATTTATTAATCTCAATAGAATTCATAAGAGTGCCCTTCAGTTTTTAAGAGAGCGTGGTATTAAAGTGAAACTAAATGTCAGATATATTTTTATTAGATATCAACGTATCATATTTTATTTCCTCGTTTTATTAATACACTATACAGATTATAAACAATTAATGTGTACAGATATAGTGCTATTATTTATGACCACCTCTTTTATCCTGTCCGTTTTATATTATTCTGGAGATAACCATCTATTTTCTTCCCCCCAAAATGCCCCCCCCCCTTCTGCTATCTGGAAAGTGTCATGCCGTCCATGCTTCTTTTTCTTTAACTTCAACAACTGAAGTCCGCGTCATGCCTTTAGCAAGCGGTTCTGTATCAAAATAAAAAGAGATTCAATCATTCACATTATGCCCTCTAAAAATACAAATATTGCACCCCCCCCCCTGTCACATACGCACAACCCACTCACACACACATATGTTTCATATTTTTCCTTTTGAAAGTCTAATCACTTAGCTCATTAGTAATTGTAGATATATTATTAAGTCCAACACCCAGGGCATGAAGGCCAAATACTAGACATAATTCAGCATAAGTTTAATATCCACTTAGACATTCGGACAAAATACGGCCTTCCCCTTCGTTTGTAATTTTGACCTGAGAGTATCAAGGAAATGCTCATAGGAAAAAAATTACTTATCAGTTAATGTTAAGTACTGTAAAAGGGTGAGAGTGCTGAGGCATTTTTGTCATAAATAACCTGTCCATCGGTCAGATGCTGAGAAATGAACAAATTAAAGAAGAAACTAACACAAGTAATTATTTCTAATATGATGCAAATTGATAAATCATATTTATTAAGCTTTTGTATTTAGTAGAAAATGTAAAAATTGATTTCACGGTAAAACAATTATTGAATGGCAGAAAAATAATTGATTTTAATCTGTCATTAAATATAAATAAATCAGAGAATGTTGCTAGGTCTGTAAATGTCCCAAATGATAACATAGAAATATGTTTTGCAACAGCCAATTTTCTAACGATAAAGTTAATGCATAAATTGTATATTTTTGTAAAATATCATCAAAATGGTTTAAATCAGGATTTCAATTTATTCAAAGTACATAAATTGAGTAGCAGTTATCGTTAGAATGTGCCCTCAAACATAATAATTTGAATTACATTTTAAAAATTAATACATTTTGTTATCCTTCGAAAAGAGTAGGTATATGAAGAAAAAAGCGACACTTTTACATGCATATTTTTGGATATTGATCAAGTCGATGATACAAATATCATGATCTTGAACTGAAAGAAAACCAAGATGATACTTTGGAGCAAAGAGACAGCACTAAGAACTTGAGTCTTGCTTTCTGTTTCGATATGAAATAGATTGTTTCATATTAAAGAAATTCAATCAATGAAAAAGTTATTTGATTAGGGAGCAATTTTTCCTGTCACTTTTGAAAGCTCAACTATTATGAAGGTTATTGTGTCATATTTGTTTCTATTTTTCATTCTAAAGATACCTTAACAATTTGATACACGTTGGCAAAAGTACCACATCTTCAGTCTTCACTCTCAGTTTCATTGCAACACGTGAACGAAGGTGTTAGCAATTCGTCATTGTTTTTGTGCTTGTTTTCAGCAAGGTTATTTGTGTCCCGTCACAGAATTAAGTTTAATGGATTAATTACATAATTGTGCATATAATGTGTTGATGATGTGATTATGAAAAAGAAGGTTAACTACAGTTATTGACAAAAGTTAAAGTTCATTATAAATGTACATTTGAAAATAGGTTGAACTTAGTGTACGGTCTTTATGTCAATATGCTTGTGTTGCCAACTCATGGATATTGTTGCCAATGTGTGCTGAAAGGATAAAAAGTCTCAAAAAATGTATATTTAATTTACACACAAAATTAACGAAATGTGTCAGTTGATAGATTTTGGTTTGTTTAAAAAGCTTATGGTGGTGAAAATATGAATAAAAAAATTCCAAGTAGTTATGGATTCTTTTGAAAAAAGCGATGTAAAGGCAATGTATTACTATTAGTGAGTTAGAAACATTGCTAAAATGATTTTGATAACAAGCAATCTTGTCTGCTACACTCAGACACCTAGACAATTTAGTGGATCTGCAGGATAAGACCTAATTTAGTCTGTTTACTTTAAAAATGGGATATATACTTGATGTTAGAATAATCAGTCAAATTGGATGAATAGATGTATCAACATCAATCGCAGTTGAGATTTATCAATGTATTAGAGGATAGTTTATTGACAATTCATGTTTTTGTAGATTCTTTTATATTTATTTACAAAGGAAATATTTAAAAAATATTGACTTATATCAACGAGAAATAAGAACCAGCTCACACAAAGAGGTGTACATTTTCAAACCATTTATTAAGTACATGTCAAACTCAAATTCATATGTATGAACAAGATGACTCAAAATATGTTATTTTCTGTGCATTATCTTTACATATTAAATAAAACCTACACTAGTAGGACTATCTCATTCTAATAATAATAATAATAATACTCAGTTTTTTTATATAGCGTTTATTACAATCACTAAGCGCTTCCAAACTTGGGGCTCATCTCGGCCTTTTCTGTTCTATCCAGAGTGCCCTCTGTACCTGCTCTGTTCTTATACACGCACCCACCCACACACAACCCACTCGCACACATAGGTTTCATATTTTGAAGGTCTAATCACTTAGCTCATGACTAATGATGATGATGATGATGATGATGATGATCTAAAGGAAGTGAAACGTGTCATATCTATTCCCTAAAAATACAAATGTGGCAACAATCCTGCATGACATTTAACATTGAATCTTGGCACCCCCCCCCCCCCCATAAACGAAACCGACATCCTACAAATCGAGCTGGTTCGAAGATGCGTCGGTGATTGAAGCAATGCCACTTCCGGATTCACACAATTCTGTTTCGACACACGCTAGACCAAGGGTTCTTTAACTTTTTACAAGATGGTCCAGATGTGATTTCCTTGAAAGCTATGACAATATGCAATTATTATTATTATTATTTTTTTTTTAGGGGGGGGGGAATACTTACACACGCACATTTGTGAGAATTACATATTTTGATAGACATGTGATGATATTCTGTCACCTATCACCCGAACCATAGGTCCGCCCATAACAAATTTGGTATCAAAATGTGCAGGAGCCATGAAGGGAAAAAAAATCATAAAATTTCAGCGCCAAAGGTTTAGGGGTTTTGATAAAGCGGCAAGAAGTCGACAGGGGGGGCATTATGCCCCCCCCCCGCCCTTATTAGGGTTAAGAGCTGTATACACAATATGATATAAAAGTTCGATATACTCGTGAGAGAAACAAAATCCTATTGTTATTCGAATAATATGCAAGTTCAAGGAGTTAGTTTTCTGGATTTCTTAAATAAACCATATATTGTCACAACCATTTTATTAAAAGAGGTACGATTATTAGAAATTTTATGGGCAACAGAGTATGCTTGAGCAATGCCAGAGAATCTAAAATGTAACGATCCATGTTTTTTATGGGAATGATGTTAATGTTGTTTGTTTATAAATAAACCCTTGGCAGTAAGTCCTAAAATGTGAGAACCTAACGCCTAATTTTGTCTTACTCCCTCTCCTGTTTGAAAGTATAATGCAGCGCCTCATTCAAATTAATGAAATCACTACTTAGAAAGTATCAACCTCTTAAAAGTAGACAGAACGATTTGATTCATTTTAAATCCGTATTGAAATAAAGTGTACGAACCGACACATTCATTATGTTACTCTGTATGCGAAGGGAATGTAAAGTGAATTAAATGAGTTAGTCCTCACAAGTCAAAAACTTAAATATTTCTATTCATTTTCAGGAGTGTTATGGTCTTGCCAAGTTTTTCATTTCACATTTTCGAAACAAATCACGAATTATGTGTGTGAAATAAAAACCAAAGTAAAAGAAAAGTGTACAAATTTAAAATATAAGGGATTCTCTGGACAATGGATGTCTTTATTCATACATCTAACTAGGATAGTTTTTGAAAGCAAATCTATTCTTCGTGATCATAATGATATGAAAAATGTCTCCCTCTGTCGTTTTTTGTATCAGAAGGCATATGCCCCTCTGTCCACGTCGTGTTCTATCCTTCTGTTAATACTCTCACTCATCCCTCCATCTCCTCTGTCCCCCTCTCTTTCTCTCTCTCCTCTCTTCTCGACACCCCTACGCGTCTCCCCCCCCCCCTCTCTCTCTCTCTCTCTCACTTCCTTACGTTTATCTCATATTCCATCGTTTTCCCTCTCAAATCTATAGCCTCTGCATGACTTTGTCTCAATACT